TTTGTTTTTATCAGGTGCCTGAAGGCATTAATGTTTTCATGAATAATCTCTATCACCCTGCTCAGTCACTAAGATGGTTTGAAACTGATTTGTTTTTCCTACCTCTGTTTTACCCATATTCATAGGCTATAGCCCTTCAGTTGTAAATCAGCATGAGGGATGTTTAGAACTCCCCCTGTAGACAGACCTGGACACCTATCTCTTAGCATCTTAGTCCTGAGAAGATGTTGTAAGGTCTGCCAGTCTCTGAACCAAATGCTAGTACCAGGAAAATCTGAATAATAGAAATTGGCTAAGCCCTCCAATGTGTGCAAATAGTAGCAGCCATAGCATTTTCTTGATTTGTCCTTCAAAAAAATTTTACTAGTAAGTTTGATTACCTGTGGAGATTTGGTAGAGACATTTTTCTTTTACAAGCTTTAAAGATTTTTTTTTTACCATTTATATCTTTAATTTACTTGTAGTTTATGTTTGTATATGGGATAAAGAAGAGAGATACTTTCTCCCAATATAGTTATAGTGAAATAGCAGTTGTGGAATAATCTATCCTGTGTCTCCTGTCACAGTCTAAATTTCCATAAAAACTCTGTTCTGTTTATGGGTGCTTGACTCTCTCCTACCGAGTTATACATAGGTGTTTGTATTTGACATGTAGAGACATATAGAAATTCTGAGCAGGGCTGAGGACCCACTTGTGGTTTTTTTGGTTTTTTGGTTTTCTCATAAATTTCAAGTGATTCTAGTCAAACCATTTTATTTTTTCCAGCTACATCCACCTCTTTAGTTCAGTCCCAGCATAAGCAGCATATTGGGTTTCATGAAGAAGAGATGTTTACACGAGTCATAGTAAAGAGCCTGGAATCTAAACAGAAGTGAAAAATAGGAGGATGATAAAGCAAAAATATAGTAGAGTCATTATTTATAAGTTTCATGTTTATGCCATGTGTTGGGGGCCTGTGGCTGGTGAATTGTTAAGAATATGCATATTATGACCTGCTGAATGGGAGGCATGAGCCCCCCTTCCCCACTTCAGGGTCAGCAGGAAGCTCTCTCAGTATCCAAGCTCCTACTTCGGGGAAGTGAAAACCTTGGGGTTATTATTTTTTTAATTGAAGTACATACAATAAAATGTACAAATCTTAGTGTACTAGAGCTTGATGAATTTTTTGAAAACCTTGGGGTTATTATTTTTTTAATTGAAGTACATACAATAAAATGTACAAATCTTAGTGTACTAGAGCTTGATGAATTTTGACATGTGTATACACTTAAGTAACCATCACCCAGATCAAGGTATCAAACATTCTCACAAATTTTTTCCCCTTTACCTATTTCTTCATTCCTCTTCTTCCCCTCCTCTATGGCACAGTCTTGTCTCTGTGTAGGTCTTATTTCAATTTTGATGTTTGATCATTTGTTCTTTTAGATTCTACATGTAAGTGAAATCACATGGTATTTGTCTTTCCTTGTCTGACTTATTTCACTTAGTATAATACCCTCTAAGTCCATCCATGTTGTCACAAATAGCAAGGTCTCATTCTTTTTGTGACTGAGTAATGTTCTAGTACATATATGTACCACATCTTTCCCCATTCACCTATTGATGGGATGCTTAGGTTGGTCCCATATCTTGGTTATTGTAAATAATGCTGCAGTAAGCACAGGGATGCATGTATTTTTTAATTAATGATTTCCTTTTCTTTGGGTAAATTCCTAGAAGTGGAATTGCTGGATTGTATGGTATTTCTACTTTTAGATTTTTGTAAAACCTCCATACTCTCTTCCATCGTGGCTGTACCAAGCTACAACCCTACCTGCAGTCTACCAGGGTTCCTTTTCCTCGACATCCTTAGCAGCACTTGTTATTTCTTGTCTTGTTGATATTTGCCACTCTGGTGTGAGGTGATACCTCATTGTGGTTTTATTTGCATTTCCCTGACAATTAATGCTGAGCATCTTGAATGTGTCCGTTAGCCATCTGTATGTGTTCTCAGGAAAAATGTCTGTTCAGATCCTCTGCCCATTTTTTAAATGGATCTTTGGTTTTTGTTGTTGAAGTGTAGGAGTTTTCTATATATTTTGTATATTATCCCCTTATCAGATAAATCATTTGCAAATATATTCTCCCATAGTTGATGGTTTCCTTTGCTGTGCAGAAGCTTTTTAGTTTGATATAGACCCACTTGTTTAGTTTTGAGTTTTCCTTTGCATGGGGAGACATATCCCTGGGGTCATTTTGATTAAAGATGAAGTTTCAATACACTCACAGAAAGGAAGTAAAGTCTGGGTGTGAGCAGTCTTGTCATAGTGCAAAATGCCTAGGCAGCAACTCAAAATAGCTATTTTCTCATCACATGATTTTGTTTGGGGAATTGATTTTAATGTCTTTGACTTATAGCCCTTCAGTATTTTTTCCATTTATCCTAAACTACTTGTCTGCAATAATTAGCACAATTGCTAATTGCTCCTTTCTGAGTAGTAGCTTCTATGTGAGATACTGTTAAACCATTTCCATGCCCACATTCCCACATTTTTCTCTAATCTTCCTCTTCATTATCTGCTTTGTTGTTCAGCACCTGCTCTGTGTCAGGCACTTCATAAAAATAGTATATCATCTCAGTACCCTTAATAAACATCCTAAAATAATTATCCTTATCATCCCTATGTATCATACAGAAAAATTAGAGCTTAGTCAAGCTCAGTAATTTTCTCATTATCTAAGGATGGTTTTACTAAAAACAGCTGAGCCTGAAACTGTGGTCTGCCATCTTTCCACTACTGTGTGCTACTGCTCAGACATTCAGTTACTGCTAGAGTACTTGCTCAGTTCCCACCTCTGTCCTTCCAAGAAAAATTTATGGCTCAAGTATATGACAGTTTCATTGAATCCTAAGCACATAGCAAAAACGAGTCAACAGAGGAGCCCTGTTTACTCCTAGCTCATGCCAGACCCCTCCCTTGGCATATTTCTCAAGCTATTTTCCTATTTCAACTACTACCCATAATTATTTCCTTTCACCTAAATCAGCATGCACAGTGTTCCTGAGTTCCTGGCAGTCTGTTAACTCTAGACCAGATCACTTCCCAGATATTAATTTGGAATGATGCTCTATTCTTTCCCAACATTCCTGTTATTAAGCTCAGAACTATATAAGATATTCATCATTAGTATCTTATATAGTACTTGAAAATCTGTAAATATTCCCTGGGATATTTTCAGTGACCTTGGATAGAAGGGTAGGAAAAAGAATACCTGGAAAAAGCTTGAAAACATAAAACGGAATGGCTGAGCAATACTATAAGCTCAAGAAGAAATAAAAGCATGTTGATTGGGATCATGGGACAAAAAAGTGACTTGGCTATACACAGTAGAGGAAATGAGCAGGATGACATCTTTAAATGTACAAAAAGCAGATGGAAGAATAAGTAAATAGATAAAGATTACATTTCTGCATATTTAAACTTGGAGCTAGCCTGTATATGCTTTTGTTTCCTCCTATTTATACAGAAATTAATATGTAAGCAGTGTATGTACCCATTTCAATAGAGATGGAAGGGATTAGACAGTGAGATGTGTTACATTATCACATGATTGATTCTGATTGTGCTTACTAGCTTCTGTAATATCCTTTACTCCATCCTAAATTCTACCTCTGTACTTTTTTTGTCTTCTAGTGCATTTTTTACAGAATTATCTTTTTAATGCTTAACGTGTGCTAAGTGTTAATTATTCCCTACTTAGTAAAGTAGTCATAAGTCTTTAAATTGGTATGCCATGATTGGGGAGGTATCTGAGCAATCATTTTTTTAAACTGCTCAGATGAATTTGACCAAAATAGAACTTTATATCGTTAATAAGGTAATCACTTGCCTCAGCTTTTATTAGTTCTAATTTCTATTTATTTCTTCCCTTTTTTTCATATTGCCCAGAATTTGAAAAATTTTTAAGCCATTTCTTTCTTGTGTGCTTTGTTTATTTTAGGATTTACTTCTTATATGTATAGTAGAAGTTGCATTTCTTTTTGAACAATAAAACGGTATGAATTTATCTTCTTATCTTTCAGACATGCAGTCAAGGTGTCAGACCAAGAAGTTATCACAAGAAAATACCGTTTTTGAGAGAGAATTATCTCAATGGGATACAACGAAAATCTGTAAAAAACACAGTCTTGAACGTTTATGTTTTAGAGGTAATTGGGAAAGCAATGGTCAGTTTGAAATGCAATGGAAAAATCAGGAAGAATGTTTCAAGCATATTATACTCACCTGTGAAAAAATGTCCACTTTTAACCAGAACTTGGCTTTTAATCTACATCAGATACTTAATACAGGAAAGAAACCAAGTGACTTTAAAGAATGTGGGAAAGCCTTTTGTTCTGGATCAGACTGTTTTCAACATCAATCAATTCACACTGATGAGAAATTTTCTGAAGGTGATGAATGTGCAAAGACTTCCTGATTCAGAGCTTACTCAATATCAGACAGTTCACACTGCTAAGAAAACATATGACTGTAAAGAATGTGGGAAGGCTTTTAGTTTGCATTCGAGTCTTACTGGGCATAGGAGAATTCATACTGGTGAAAAACCTTTTAAATGTAAGGAATGTGGAAAGGCCTTTAGATTTCATTCACAACTTAGTGTCCATAAGCGTATTCATACTGGTGAGAAATCTTAATGAATGTAAGGAATGTGGAAAGGCCTTTAGTTGTGGTTCAGATCTTGCTCAACATCAGAGAATTCATACTGGTGAAAACCCCTATGAATGTAAGGAATGTAGGAAGGCCTTTAGTCAGCAATCACATCTTACTAAACATCAGAGAATTCACACTGGTGAAAAACCATATGAATGTAAGCAGTGCAGGAAAGCTTTTACTCGCAGCTCATACCTAACTCAACATCAGAGAATTCATACTAGTGAGAAATCTCATAAATGTAAAGAGTGTGGAAAAGCCTTTATTCGTGGTTCAAATCTTGCTCAACATCAGAATGTTCATGTTGGCAGGAAACCCTATGAATGTGAGAAATGTGGGAAAGCCTATATCTGGAGTTCACACCTTGCCCAACATCAGCAAATTCATGTTGGTAGGAAACCTTATGAATGTAAGCAATGTGGGAAGACTTTTATTTGGGCCTCATATCTTGCTCAACATGAGAAATTTCATGAGAGGAAACTCCATGAATGTAAGGAATGTGGAAAATCCTTTCTTCATGTCTCAGAGTTTAATCGACATCAGAAAATTCATGCAGGTGAGAGAAACTATGAATGTAAGGAATGTGGGAAGACTTTTTTTCGTGGTTCAGAACTTAATAGACATCAGAAAATCCATACTGGAAAGAGAACCTATGAATGTGAAGAATGTGGAAAAGCCTTTCTTTGGGGTTCACAACTTACTCGACATCAGAGAATCAATGGAAAGACTATGTGAACACTTTCAGTCATGACTCAAACTTGGCTCAACACCAGAGTATTTACACTTTTGAGAAATCCTGTGAGTATAAAAATTTTGACACAGCATTTTCTCCAAGTTCTCACTTTCTTTCACTTGTGTAAAATCTTAGAATATAAAAATGTAGGAAAGCCTTTATTCCTGACTTGTTGATGTCAGTTAATTCATTTTGAGAAATTCCACACTGTAATAGTGCAAGAATTTTTGACAGAGCACACAACACACTTAACAGCAAAGAATTCATAATGCAATCTATTGAAATACAGGAAAGTATTCATTGATTGTCTGTTATGGAATATTAGGGAAAACCCTGTGAATTAGATGATAGTGTGAATCCATTTTGAATCATTCTCAAAATGTCCACATCACTGGTAATATGCTGCATAGAGTTTAAACTTAATTCATGTGGAAAAACCTTCCTTTCACTACTGACATCTGGTTGCACTTCCAGAAAATACCAAAGACAAGCATATGTTATATAACTAGTCTGGAAAACCTTGAGCTATGTCATACAATTTATTTGCCATGTCTTTAGTTTCAACACATCTCTGTACTTTTTGGAAAGTAACTGAAATCCACATGTGCTTACTTGTTAGATTATAAAGGTTAATTAGTTTGAAGATTCAAATGACTGAGTGACCATCATTAATATTATTAACATTTCTATGAGAAGAAGAGCTTAAGAGTATAAGATTATAGATAAAAACGGCATCTGTATGTGTGTCATCCTGAACAGGAAAAATGTTAATTCTGAATAAAAACCAGTAAAATAGAATGAAGGGAAGAAAGCTTTAAACTAGTATTAATTACATTTGTTGCATAAAAAAATCATACTATAAAAAAACCTATAGTTTTAAAGAAAAGGGTTTTTGAGTGATTAGCAGTATTTTTTTAAAAGGCATTTGTGAGTTTTTTGTCTCTAACAGATTTCTAAAGTAGATGTCATATCCATCTTATCATCACAATTAAAATTTAGAAGCTAGAAAATAGCCAAATGCATTCTGATCTCTTAGAAATTTAGTTCTCTCTCTCTCGTTATGTATATATATAAACAATTCTCTGATTAATGAGCAAATCAAAAGTGAAATTACAGGCTATTTAGATTTGAATGATAATGAGACTGCTGTTGTATCAAATCCTATGAAAGTGACCATAGCTATTCTCAATGGAAATTGTTCTATCTTTAAAACTAAGAAAATTGAAGGCAGTTTACTTTTTGTCACCACTGTATCTACAGCACTTAGGACAGTGCCTGTCATATTGTGGAATCCAAATGCTTGTCAGATTAAATCATGGCTACTCAACTGAATATGCTAGAATAAGTGGAAATGCCCCAAATGAACTGATGGAAAATTTTAAGGAAAACAAAGCAAATGTCAAATCAGAACAAATTTTTTAAAAATACAGAAATTCTTAAAAATTTTAAATCATGTTTTTAAGTCAAAATTTATTTGAAGAAAACTATGAGACTTTAGCAATATCTCCACATTATGATAAGAAAAGAAAAATAGACAACTAGAGAACTTTTTAATGGTCACATAAATACAACCTTTATTAGACATGACTTTTAAATATAGTGGTTTATTTTCTAGGAAAATGTTTTAAAAGATGAAATTTTGAAAGTAGCTAGAGAGGCCAAAACTTTTTTTAACAATTGGAAAAGAAAAACTCTGGAAGGAACAGAAAATCCTATGGAAAAATTGCTGCTTATGTTAAAATACTAACATAATTCTGATAAAATTAGATGCGAAAGAGCCCTTGAAAAACACAATCTAGAGTAATTTCATTCATGAATATATGGGAAAAAGTAATAGTAAAGTGATATTTACCCAGAGTATTTAACCACTGATCTGGATGGGTTGTAATTCTGTAGTTTACATCTGACAGCAAGATATCAATGATGAAAGTGTACCTTCTCAATTCAGTACTTACACTAAGTGCATTTTCTTGGTATCTTTTAGTATTACATGAGAAAAAGAATGGTATGTGTACATGTATTTAACACATTTGTTACTCAGTTCATTAAGAGGGGTTAAATAGTACTAGGGAACAGTACCCTCCAAAACTGTTACCTTCTATGGAATTTCCCAACTTGTGTGGGGAAAAGGAATTTTTTTGTTGTATCACTTTATTTTAATAAGCTATTCCTCAGGCTGACTAGATTTTTTTTCTGGTGACAAGTGTTTTGAGAAAAATAATAGAGTTTTCTGGACATCCATATATAGATAAATATGGAATATTCCTCTTTCCTTTGGCCTAGACTGCCTTGTTTATTTTAGTATCAGTGGGTATATCTTGTGCTTCTAATTCATAGTGAATTTCTGGATCTCCTTGACTGCCTGAGGTACATGCTTCTTAAACCCCCTACTGTATTGACATGTTTGTGAATGTTGATAATTATCGTTTAGTCTAGTTTACAGATTACAGCCTGGCCCATAGTTTTTCCCTAATCACCTTTCTTTGTAGGGGCCATGCTGGTAGAACCTTTTGGAGAAGAACTTTCTAATTACTACTATAGTTAGATGAAATTGAGGGTGAAAAGTTGGATTTGTTTCTGGCAGGGTAAAGCAGGATAAATTCCAAAGAAATCAAGGGATCTGAATGTAAAAAAAAGGAAAAAAGAAAGAAACTTTGCAAGTACTACAAAACTACGAGAATTCCTTTATGACTCTGGAAGAGAGACATCAATAATTGACTCAAAAATCCCATAGAAAAAGAAAAAACATTTCTGTAGAACTAGAACAGTATTAACAAAGATAAAGGAAAATGATGAATTGGAGATATTTGGAACTATACTACAGACTAATATCCTTAAAGAGTCTAAAAATTAAGATGACAATACAAGTTACACTACATTGAGATACCATTTCATACCAATCAAATGGGCAAAGGTTCCAAAGTGTATAAAGTACTCTGTTGGCAAGACTGGCAAAACAAGGCCTCTTTCCTGATGAAAAGCAAAACAGTACAATAATAATATGAGGGAGTTAAGCAGTGTCTATGTGTAACCTCAAGTTCATATACCATAAGACCCATCACCCTCATTTCTATCCCAAAGATAAAGTAAAATTACAAAATGTATGCACAAAGTAATTAAAAAAGAAACAACGATATTTGTGAATGGGGAAGACAGGAAACAAACCTATGTCCAGCATCAGACTGGCTGAATTATCTATCGTATGTATGTACAGTGGACTATTGTGCAGCTATATACTTATGCTGAGTAATCTTTAGGATATGTCAAAAATAGGTAAGTGCAAAAAATGTATATAATGCTAATATTTATAAGAGGAAGAGATACTATATGTGCCTATGCTTTTTTAAAGAAAATGAAGATACAACAGTTGGGGGAGGAAAAGGATGAGAGGTGGTTGTCTTTGGTTATGTATTTTGATTTGTTTTATTTTTTTAAATATTTTTAAAAATATTTTGACTTTGGATCCATGTAGCTATTTTACATATTGACTTTTATGAAAAAAATTAAGTCAGAAAATTTGCAATCTTAAATATCAAAGCCAGTGAATGTGATTCTACATCAGATTCATAATGTAATTTCATGTAAAATATTTTCACTTAGGATGCTATGCCTCTAGAGAAGAGAGAAATACAAAGAAATTTAAACTGTCTTTACCAGTCTTTTGTTAATGACCATACTGGTATTATTTTAGGTGAGTCCAAATAAATCACATAGCTTAATTTCCTGAAGAAGTCAATTTTTGCAAAAGAAAAAAATACATAAAGAAGTAAAATGCTCTGTAGTCTTTAATTTGAATTGAAAATATACTAACTTTTGTTCACTGAAGGAGTTCAAAAATATTAGTGACATGGAAGCATTGAGCATCCTATATATTTAGACTGTAGTCCTTAAATTCTATTTTCTATGGAAAGCAAGGTCTCCTTTGAGAAATGTCATGTGACATTTTCATCAGGAATGAGTCCTTGTTTTTACAGGCCAAGTGTAGGAAATGTATATATGATTATCCCAAAACATGCCTAGAAGAAAGCAAAGACTAGGGTCATGTCAGAAACTGAAGGAACTAATCAACGAGGATAATTTGAGCATCAAAAACTTGTAGTGAACAGAGACAGTGATCACACAAAAAACTTCCCAACACCCTCCTCCTCAAAAAAAAAGAATGACAGAACCATTTATGGGTCTTGGCAGAGAGCTAGCTCATTCTGAAATTGTGGTACAGGACATAGCAAATATAATGATTTTTCTGTACAAACGAATCAAATAGGAAGTTTTATTATAAAAATTAGCTAATATATTTAGAAAGGATGACAGAATGAAAATTACATTTGGCAACCTTTAATAAAATAATGGAATTGGCAATGATCCATACTAAATGGGAGTTTAGGAATTTCAAAAGAAAATGGTTGATGACAGCTGAACAAAATGGATTTTGTTATGAGTTTTTAACTCAGAGATTCCATGGAAAATTTCCTGATGTCTGTAAGGAGGGCCCACATAATGAGAGCAGTAACCACATCATGAGACTGAAGCCAATCAACACTAAACCCCGTTTAGCAACACATACAGGACTGGAAAATTTCAAATCTTTCCTATGTGTGGCCAAGGAGTCCATCCTTTGTTTTCATTATACCTCAGATCTGTAAGAGATGCTCTAATACCTCCCTCTGAGACAAAAAAGAAATATAGTTGGTATTTGTCCATTTTCCTAGCACAAATTTCCCTATCTTTCCAAGGCTCGTTTCTGTTTTAGCTAGGACAAAAAGTTGCCCCTACCATGATGGAAGTAGTCCAGTGAAATCAACCTACCACCAGGTGGCTGACTGAACAACCCAGGGAATAGTGCCATCTTAGGCTTTAGTGTTTGCTGCTGGTTTACTCAGCAATGGTCAGAGCCGGGTCAGCCCTGGCCAGTAGAAGTCTATGTTGCTGAACTCATGCATAATCTCTATCCCTGCCACCATAGTTACATTGTTCATGAGCCCATTTAATACTGAGGAGTGCCTGGGGAAAGAATCTCTTGTCTACAGAACAGGCCACCCTATCCACTTATTGAAACCCTGCTTTGCTGAGGTCATCTTTAGTGAGTATTCATTAGGACACAAATATCTTCAATATTTTTTGCCCATTCAGAGGTCTATCCACTTATCTCCCAGATTTTATTCCTAAATTTCCAATCATGTTTTTCACCATTATCCCACTCCCTTAATATCTATTCCCATGTTTCTTTGATGGATTTCTGTTTACAAACTATAAAACTCAAGTAATTATTTGGGAATGCAGCATACCTCTTCGTGGGTCACACTTTGTTACCTCACTTTTAGGAGCCTGAGACTTGAGTCCATTGATAGTTCTAGAAACAAAGAGGAATGGTAGTGAAAGAAGTTAATTACAGTTCGCTCACACAATGTATGGTTAATCCCCTCAGGAGGAGGTGGATTGCCACTGAGTGGGGATGTCACTGCCATTAGAGGGGAAACCTGAGAGTGAGAAGGCTGCTTCTATTGTAAACTCAGAATTTAGGAGCTCAATGTTCTTAGCTTCATCAGGGTCTTTCACATGTCCCCATGCCATATTATAGGATCTCATTCTTTCCTAATTAATGCCCTCACTTTAACAATATTTTAACACCATTTAACTATTCAGCTGAGAATTTTCCAAGTAAGTTCTGCTTTAAAAACTTCATCTTTAAGTCATTCCTTTCTTCTTGCATATTATTATAATTAACCAGGAGGAGCCAAATCACACCTTCAATTTCATTGCTCACAATTTCTCCTTTCCACAAA